GCACATCACGGATACAAACAATAAGAAGACGCCACCGAAACATCCTGTCACCAATAGGGAGTCGCAGCAGTTATCGCCCCAACGCGTAGTGCATGCCACCGACCTTGCCGTTCGCAACTGATAATTCGTGTAGTGACATCACGGATACAAACCATAAGAAGACGCCACCGAAACATCCGGTCACCAATAGCAAGTCACAGCAGTAATCGCCTCAACAATTAGTGTATGCCATCGACCTTGTCGTTCCCAACTGATAATTCTAGCAGTGACATCACGGATACAAACCATAAGAAGACGCCACCGAAACATGCGGTCACCAATAGGGAGTCACAGCAGTTATCGCCTCAACGCGTAGTGCATGCCAGCGATATTGCCGTTCGCAACTGATAATCCTAGCAGTGTTACATCACGGATACAAACCATAAGAAGACGCCACCGAAACATCCTGTCACCAATAGGGAGTCACAGCAGTTATCGCCCCAACGCGTAGTGCATGCCATCGACCTTGTCGTTCGCAACTGATAATCCTAGCAGTGACATCATGGATACCAACCATAAGAAGGTGCCACCGAAACATTCGGCCACCAATAGCAAGTCACAGCAGTTATCGCCTCAACTCGTAGTGCATGCCATCGATATTGCCGTTTGCAACTGATAATCCGTGTAGTGACATCACGGATACAAACCATAAGAAGACGCCACCGAAACATCCGGTCACCAATAGCAAGTCACAGCAGTAATCGCCTCAACAATTAGTGTTTGCCATCGACCTTGTCGTTCCAAACTGATAATTGTAGCAGTGACATCACGGATACAAACCATAAGAAGACGCCACCGAAACATGCGGTCACCAATAGGGAATCACAGCAGTTATCGCCTCAACGCGTAGTGTATGCCGACGACCTTGTCGTTCGCAACTGATAATCCTAGCAGTGACATGATGGATACCAACCATAAGAAGGTGCCACCGAAACATTCGCCCACCAATAGCAAGTCACAGCAGTTATCGCCTCAACTCGTAGTGCATGCCATCGATATTGCCGTTCGCAACTGATAATCCGTGTAGTGACATCACAGATACAAACCATTAGAAGACGCTACCGAAACATCCGGTCACCAATAGCAAGTCACAGCAGTAATCGCCTCAACTCTTAGAGCATGCCATCGACTATGTCGTTCGCGACTGATAATTCTTTCAGTGACATCACGGATACAAATCATAAGAAGACGCCACCGAAACATGCGGTCACCAATAGGGAGTCACAGAAGTTATCGCCTCAACGCGTAGTGGATGCCGATGACCTTGTCGTTCGCATCTGATAATCCTAGAAGTGACATCATGGATACCAACCATAAGAAGGTGCCACCGAAACATTCGGCCACCAATAGCAAGTCACAGCAGTTATCGCCTCAACTCGTAGTGCATGCCATCGATATTGCCGTTCGCATCTGATATTCCGTGTAGTGACATCACAGATACAAACCATAAGAAGACGCCACCGAGACATCCGGTCACCAATAGCAAGTCACAGCAGTAATCGCCTCAACTCTTAGTGCATGCCATCGACCATGTCGTTCGCAGCTGATAATTCTAGCAGTGACATCACGGATACAAACCATAAGAAGACGGCACCGAAACATGCAGTCACCAATAGGGAGTCACAGCAGTTATCGCCTCAACGCGTAGTGCAGGCCATCGACCTTGTCGTTCGCAACTGATAATCCTAGCAGTGACATCACGGATACAAACCATACGAAGACGCCACCGAAAGGTCCGGTCACCAATATGGAGTCACAGAAGTTATCACCTCAACGCGTAGTGCATGTCATCGACCTTGTTCGCAAGTGATAATCCTTGCAGTGACATCACGGATACAAACCATGAGAAGTCCCCACCGAAACATCCGATCACCACCAGCGAGTCACAACAGTTATCGCCTCAACGGGTAAATAAAAGCCGGGTATAAGCCCGAGGCAGTGACAGACGGGTCTTTGAACCTACACCCACGATTGCCTCTATTTCCTTTTCCAAATATACATCGGCTACAAGAACAACGGAAATAAACCGCGTAACTGCGGCTTATCAACTCTGTCCACAGCCCTCTGATCACAAACTCCGCCTCTGTCGGTTTCGATATGGTCGGTCTTTGAACCAGCCTGCGGTCGTGTAATCGCTACTGCGTGGTGCACTGCTTTCGACATCACTCGGTTGTTCTTATATAGTATGTTGGAACAAACTATAGACCTTTTCAATAATCGCTTTCTGCGCGCTGCCATCTTGGTCTGCTGGGCTGTGGAATGTGTCCTGAGCGTACGCACTAGTTCTCTTCGACGAAATACGACACGTCACGCATGCGTTCACAGCCAGTGACTCAGCATTTTTCGCCTGGGTGATAAGCGCTGGAAAGGTCTATACGCCCCAAGAAATCTCCCGCAACACGTTTGGGAGAACCAATCTCTGCAATCTGCGGAGGGCGCTTAATGAATGACGGGCTGATAATAGGTATAGACCCAAAGAAAAGAAATGCGGTCTTCGTTGAAAGCACTGAGCACGGTGAAACGTCATGTTCATTGCCATATCGCGGACAGCCTTTTCTTTCTCTTTATAGTTATCAGTCTCGTGATTGGCCGACCTCCCTCCGTAGATTCCAGCGATTGACTCTCCCAGCTGCTTTGCGGGAGAGCAGTCGCTCCAGATGTCTCAGAGTGTTCTATACTTCACGCTGCGCACATACGGAACATAAAGCCAATCTTGGCGGCGCCCCAAAACCTTCACGACGATATTGGTTTTAGGAACATGGCGTGGGTTACGGTCTGCTGTAGCCAATCAAGCACTGCCAAAAGTGCATCGTCACGCGGTTCCTCACCTTTGCGTGTTTCCAGAATTCGGAAATTACTTTGTTAATGTTTTTTGTTAGAACCAGGAAAAAAATAGCGAGGAAATATGAGATAGAATGTGAGGAGGCAGGAACAGAAGAAGAGGGAGGGAGAACAATAAATAAGTTATGGTGTAGCTTAAAGACATAATAATAAATTCAGCAGAGACACTTAAGACTGCTTATGTGTAGAAATGTGAAATCATTCCTAGGCTCCTAGACTCGTCAAACACAAAGTTGGAGCCGAAAGTTAGCGGAGCGCGCCGGTTGGACGCCGGCGAAAAAAGCGCGAAGTCATCGCCGGGACATTCCAATCGGTGCGCTCCGTGAACTTCGGCTCCAACTTTGTGTTTGACGAGTTTAGAGCCACTACACGCAGCGCATTCCTCCCAGCAGCGCGCCACGTCCCAGTGCACAGGCGCGGCAAACCCCGCGGGCTTCATGACGGCTTCCTCGACGAAGCATCCGCGTTGCTGTGCTTTTCTTTCTGTTTTATTTCTGAGGCGCGTGCTTGATGACGTATTGGTGTGACCATCTTTCGGAAACAACGACGCCGCTTTTTCGCATAATAAAACAAATAAAATGTTCGCTCTTTAAAAAAAAGAAAGAGAAAAGAAAAAAAAAAAAAAGCTCTTGGCTTAAAGGCCGACGACCAGACTCGAGATTCTGCAAGGCAGAAGATCCTCCTCCTCACCATGGGGGAGGAGGAAACAGGCAACGGTGGACAGGGTAGAAGGGGGGAGAGGAGGGAGCGGGGGAAAAGTGAAAAGCGCGAACTGGTCGTCGGTCTTTAAACATTTCGTTAAATGCCATGGAGGTGCAATGCAATGGAGGCGCACTTGGCGGAATTTTTGAGCGAGCAGCACTTTCTATCCGAATTTACCGGAGATTTCTTCCCGCTAAATTCATCGCGGAAATTGTTGCGTCACATGACATCATGACGTCACGTGGCGCCACGTGACCCTGCGGTGTCTGGCGACGCCGTGATGCCACGTGACGTCGTCAGACCAGCACGAGCAAGAATGGTCACTGGAGGTTTCCCAATATAGACGCTTTCCAGCAGCTGTGCATGGACGCCGCCATAACCGACCTTCCCGTTTTGTTTCCTCTTATTCCGCTTACTTTACTTCATCATTACCACAGCGGGACAGGTTAATTGCCATCTTTGTTTCTACATTCTTCTCCCTAGCAGCGTCCTTTCTGAAGGCTCGTCAACGCCCGCTTCAGTGGCTCGGCCTCTCGGCAAGATAAGAAAAGGTCAGCAATGATGGCTGCAATCTGGCGCGATTGCAAAGCGTTCATACGTATAAAGTTATCCCTTTGATGGTAAGTATTCGTTCGAGAGAGAGCGCGTTGCAAGAGGAAAGTATACATCCTGCTTAACATCCGTTTTGCGTTGATTCACCTGCAGTATTGCGTTGCATTTAGAAAGGTTAGCAGGCAATAAAGCAAAAAGAAATGCAGGCCTCGTAGTAGCGCGTTTAGTTTCTTTATCACCAGCACACGCGGTCAAAACCTTCTTGGACCAGGTGGACTGGCGAGCGGCGCTTTACTGAAGAGTTTCTGAGCAAGGTTGGGGGGGGGGGGGGCTATGAAATTTCAACGGTGGTAGCTAATCTGCGACTTTCCAGGATGGTTCTCTTCAAGTTGTTCAGCAACTTACATTGGTTCCGCGCCTTTCTTTTTTCAGCTAAATACTTGGGATTACAGAATGATCCTACACAGTCACCACCACACCATTCCCATAAAACCGGAACTCGTTCTCGTCAAAAAAAAATATATTAATAAAGCCGGGAGATGTTAGGAAAGACTCTCACAGACAAGGACGCCGTGATGGAGCTTCTACGTCATCTACGAGATGCCAAACACAGGATTGGTCACGAGTGCAGCATCAGCGTGCAGCTGGGGCTCTTCTCACCGACTGAACAGAAGTCCCAGCCGAACGCTGGCCTTCGGTAGGTGACGTCAGTAGTCCAACGTAGCGGCCTTCTTATCCAGAAGCTGTTGCACGAGCTTTCCTAAGCCGGGGGCCGCAAGCCGACGTCCGGCGGCCGAGAACACCTACGGCACCCCTTATCACTGTTGTCGCAACGTATCGTTATTATCCCTCGGCCCTTATCGGACAGAACCTCTCCTATTGGCGCTAGAGCGGCCACCGGCGTGCCCCTCCGCCCAGAGGCTAGCCCTATCTCAGGGGAAGGCTTCGTGGATGTTCCTGTCCTTCGAGCCACCCTTGTTGGTCAATCCTCGTCACGCCCTATGCTGTTGGTTACGCGGGGAAAGCCAAAAGAAGATGGCACGGTAGCACATCGGGATTCCTGGTGCGGAAAAACACCATGACACCATAGAAGATCCAAGAATCCTTCGAAGCCCGGCGCCCGGCTCGCAAATGGCCGACAGTGAGCTGCGCAGGCATGTGGCTGTGGTTTCAGGAGTGTTGGTGCTGTGCATGGTGTGTGCGGCGGGTCTGCCGCTCCTCATGCAGTTTTACGTGCTGCCAAACTGGACTAGCTCCGAGCAGCGGTGTGGGAACGAGCTGAGGTGAGCCCGAAGCCCATTTTTTGTATTTTTGTTCGCCCGCAGAAAACTAAAGGCCCTGGAACGCGTCTGCGACATGGTGTGTAGCAGACGCGTTCCACCCTTGCGACACCCCGCCCTTGCGACAAAAGAAGACCCGAAGTGGCAACAAACGACCTCACAGAAGCCACGGGCCGCTCTGTCGTGTTATCGGATTGTCTCGATCCCGGCGGTTTAAGCTATAAAAGTTTCGGTAAGAAAAAAGAATAATAAAAAAGTTCGCGCGATTGCGAGTGTCGCTGTCGTCGCGGGCTCCCAGCTGCTGAAGCAGCCGTGGACTGTCAAGCTGACAGCCCATGACAAAATTACATTACTAATTACTTTCCTCGCAAATACGCAATTGTAATTAAATTACATTATCAATTACCCTCTTCGAAAATACGCAAATATAATTAAATTACAATACAAATTACCCTAGACAAAAATAATTACATCACATTACAATAACTTTTGAAAAGTAATGAAATTGCTTCGAAATTACTTTTAAATTTCTTCAGGCAGTAATTCGTGCCCGTGATAATGGAAGTGTTAAACATAATGTAGCGCTTCTTAAGCTATAGGACTAAGAGAGAGAGCTCACCGGTTTTGCCGTGCATACAACGGTGAAGTTGATCGATTATTGGCTAATGTGATTGTGGTCTCCTGATTTCGGAGAAGTCCTCCACTTTGGTTGGTCCGGCCATGGCAGCTCATTCTTACATTATCGTGTAACGACTGTTGTGAGGTGTGCTGAACTGCCCCATATGTGGCCTTTGGAAAACGGGATCCACCGCTCCCGAATCCATTTCGCACAAGGTTGAGGAAATGTGCAAAAACTTCTATCCTCTAACCCAGACGCAGTCGAATTGTTTTCTCTCAAGAACACACTGGTCGACGTATTCTCGGACAATCTTCTCGAGGAATGTTGTCCCCTAACAACGGGAGAGCGGGAATTGTCGCGCGTAGTTTCGCAGGGGGGACGGATGTTCTTTTGGGAAGAAACGCCACCAGAGAAAGAAATAGGTGGCGGGCGCCTCCAGAAATGCGTCCTTCGCCAACGAATCAGCGGCTATACCTGCGCGTTTGCTTTTCCCTGACTTAACTTCTTAACGTGAGCCTGCTTTGCTCGCTTTTTGTTGTTTTCTACTATATTCCTAAATTCCGTTCACCCCTAAGCTGATAGTGCGTTGGTAGCTACGCGCTCGTCAAACCAGTCAACGGTATTGCTGTCATCACCTGAATTTGCTCTATGCGCGTAGCCTCCACCGCACTGTCATTTTAGGGGTGAATGGAGCACACAAAAATCACTTTTACCTACGACGGACCAGGCAACTTACGAGAAGTTTTGGATCCTTGGCAAGAAATTTAAGATGAACTCCTGACTCCTCGTCAAAGGTTTTAAAATGTGTTGATCTTCGTAGTGACGTGCGCTCCACCACACTGTAGCCTGGAACAGTTCCCGGTTACTTTTCGCCGTGAATCCGTCCTGCCTGGAGTTTCGTGAAGCAAGCATGGCCTTCCAGCTGCGTCTTCACTCGAAAGCTTTTCTTTGTCCGCATTGCCTTTCGACCCCTTCTCTCTGTGTGCTTGTCTCTCTCTCTCTCGACTCCCGCGTCACAGATTTCGTCCTCAGATGGGCCTCGAAAGAAAGTAATTACGAAAGTATTGAGTAATTGTCTCAAAATTACTGCCTGAAAGTAATTCATTACATTACTAAATTACCAGTGTAGAAAAGTAATTCATTACATTACGCATTACAGCAAAAAGTAATTTCATTACAGTAATGGAATTACTGCCATCTCTGCATCACTGCTGCTGTGACACCGCCAGGAATGCCGCCATGAACACTTGCATGACGTCATCAGGCGGGAATCTAGTGACCACTTTTAAGAATGACAAGTGCTGATTGTTGGGCAAGTTGTTCTGGTGCGTTAGAAAACATGATTGCGCTTTGAAGACAGGGACATAGGAGAAGAACAGACACAACAGAGCGTTACTGTAGTGTCTGTTTGCTACTAGCGCTCTGTGGTGTCTGTTCTTCCTATGTCCCTGTCTTCAAAGCGCAATCATGTTTTCTAACTTTTTAGAACGCGGTATAAACACACCAGTCGGAGACGCGTTCCAGGCACCACGTACGACAAAATGAAACTAGTTTTGTTTTTGTATTTTTGGTGACTCCTCGAGCAGTTGTTCACAAACTTGTTCCCAAACTACGTAAATGTATGAGTCTCTTTTTTGTTATTGTTTTGTTTTTTCGTGTTGGGGAGTGGGGGGAGGGGGGGGGGGAGGGGGGGGGGGGCTGCTAATTGGTGTAGCGATCAGACAAGCGTCGTTTGTCGCGTGTGTTTGATAATTCTGTGAGGAACGTCTCAGAGCCCGCAGTCATACTGCGAATACATCGTACAGAAAAATGTCTGCAAACACTGACTGAGTCACTTTTATTTTTTTACTTTGTATGATGGTTTTGTTATATTGGTCATACAAAAGACTGTCTACAAACATGTTCGAAGCATGCATATACGTATATGAAGCAAGCGCGCTTCGGACATGGTCCGCAGAAAAATCCGCCATCGTGTTTGCAGCGAACGCCCTGTGTTTTGCATGACGCGCATAACTAGTGAGCAATGTCCCCTCGGCTTAATTGTTGGCCGCCCAGCCGCTCAAAAACTATATATGGTTACCGAAAGAGACAGCATGTTAGGCAACAGGCATTCATCTTCATCGTAAGCTCGCTTTGACGGGCAATCTCCTCCTTCAGGATAATTTGCTGCATGGGTGGAGCAGGATAGTAGACGGCGGAGCAGTTTAGTTCGCCTTATTAAATGGCGACCCGTGTCCCTCGGCAAAAAGAAGCAGCGCGCCAAGAGTACGTCGATTTCGTACTTTGATGAAACAGAGGTACTTCGGAAAGTGTATACTCCAGTTTACCAATAGAATATATACTGGATGGACGGATGGATGCTAATCAGGCTCTGATGCTAATGGCTGCACCCTCTATAACGAGCGGTAGCTTGCGCCACCTAAGCTAGTAACCAGGAGTATGAGTCATCCCCGAATGTGTACACCATAGTTGCCGAACTTTGACGACGGCAGCCGCAGAGCGTGTTCCTAAAGTCATCACACTGGTCAGTTTTATATGATACAAGAGACACGGTGTTCACCATAGGCATGATGACAGAATAGACCCTTTCCGAAATTCAGTGCCATCTGCATGGCGGCTCAAATAACAGTTTGATTTTTGTCGTACTAACGGCGACAATGAACCTATAGTCTACAGCATTCTTTCGGGCACCGTCACTTTTGCAAGTCGGCGGCGAACGCGAATGTGGACTTCACTATACAGTTCTTTCTCGATCGTTTTCAGGGTCGATGATCACAAAGATGCAATCAGTCAGAACGAACGTTGGTCAGAACGAAACGTTAACCCACATAGACGCCTTGATAAACGCCTCGATAGGCGCTTTGAAGCCGATTGCGTGCTACTGACAGATTGACTAAGCCCGAGTTAGAAATGAACGCCTACACATTGCATTCAATTCCCGGTTCGGATCGTGCTAACGTCTCGGATGTATATGCCTCGAATCATCAGCTTAAGAGCATCTTCCACTTTTTCCCCTCATCAGTCAGCAGTAACCGGTTATTAGTATACGGCGCATATACCATTTTTAAGATGATGACGATGATGAAAGTGGCCAGACTGAATGTCCGAAAGAGTACGTTACCTTCAGACATGTTCCAAGCAAGTTTGCTTTATACATTTGTATGTTTCGAAGATATTTCCAGACTGTTTTTGTATGACCAATGTAACCGTCATACAAAAGACACATGTAACAGACAGTGTCAGTAGACTGTCTTTTGTATGACATATTACCAGCGTGATCGCGGCTTAGGAGTACATACCCTACATTGAAAGCATACCTCCAATAATGAAAATATATGGCAACCCACTGGAAGGTACTAATCTTTTTTTTTTTTTTTTTTTTGCATCAAAGTAACAAATTTGCATATTTTTAATGTACCGTATTTTTCAAATCCGTACCCTGTGCATAATCCGCAAAAGCAATTTTATTTAAAAAAAAATGTTTTCCTTAGGTAGAAGGGAGAAAGGATGAATCATACTTTTGGCTTCCGCCAGTTATACTCGTGCGCGCGCGATGTCGCAAAGGGAACTTCCCGCATTCCCGAACCTTGAGTTTAGACACCTGTCCATCGAACTCTGATGTGCACAATTCAAGTTTTCCATTCGAAAAAAAAAAAAAACGCCCCATTGCCCAGGGATCGGATGTCCAGACCCGTTGCTTACGAGTTTCAAAACCTCTAAGCAAAAGAAACAGACCCCTTTCATAAGTCCATGCAATAAACGCAGGCATCCGCCTTATCTTGGGCATTGTTTCATGCGCGAAACGTGTAATTGACCGAGTTGGGGCGAGCGCTGACGCACAACCCGTGTCGAATAGATTTGCACCCGAGTACGCGCCGAAGGCTGACGCCGTACTCGTATCCAATCCAACGCATGCACAAGGTGCATGCCCAAAATACGGCGGGCTCGGACCGACTGCTGGAGGGGGCACACTCTTGAAAAAGGCGTATTAGAGAGTTTTAGAATAGCGGGCCCTAGAGCTTTGGGTGCCCCAAACAGCTTGGGGCGTCCCAGTGCGCATGCGCAGAACTTCTGAGCATGGGCACTGGGATGCCCCAAGCTGCTTGCGGTACCCAAAGCTCTGGGGCCCCTTATTCTAAAACTCGCTATTAACCTATAGAGGCACTGAAAAACTACGCTTTAGAGTAGCGCCTTTTTGATCGAAAGAACCAATGCTGTCCGTTGTCACCAGTTTTTTTTTTTTTTTTCCCTAACGTGTTTGACGGAAAATGCGAAAAGTTGCCTTTCCGTTGATCCTGTTTGCCAAGACAGTTCACAACGGAGCAGAAGGATACCGCGATGGTCTCCTAACGCCGTACTGCTTAAAAGGTCCCATTTCAGAACC